TTCTTTTGTTATGCAGCACTGATTACCATAACAACATATTGTACTGATGCCCCATCTGACAGCGGACGGTTTAACAAAATAACCCCCCTTTAATGAGGAATCTTACCTAATTTTGCTGTTTCCTTTCTACTTCTGCGTTCATCTTGTTGTACTTTTCACAGCACTCTTTTTCTTATGGGACCGATGAAACAACTGAAAAGGATGTTTGAGCCTACACGTTTGATTGCTACTGTTGTTATGCTAGTAAGTATCAAAGGAGTCTGTTTTAACTCCTGATAACCTATAAACAATTTCCATTGTAAAGTCCTTTCATATACATCAATCTAACTATGTCTCAAGATGTGTTTGTGGGTGGTTTTTTGGTTTGTTTTTTTTTCCTTAAAGCATCAAACATCCCGCACATCAGTTAGCAGAAAGCTATGTGTAGCACCAGAAAATCACCTTCCTGTTATGAAAGACTGATCTGAAGCCAGGTTGTTATGCTAAATGAGTATCAAGGGTCTGTGATTGGTATGTGGGAACCATGCACGTGCTTTTTTAGGGTGCTTTAGGTGACAACATCATATTTTCATGTTGCTTAAAAGATGAAAGATGGCAAACTAGTTTTTAAAAAATTGTACTGTGGAAGTTTAGACATTCTATTTTGCATATTTTTGTCTTTTTATATTCTATCTGATTTGCTTTAAAGAGCTGTGTAGGTATTTTTACCTTGATAAAAGCATCATTTCCTGACAAAGCAACTGGGGAATCTCCATGCCTTGGTCATCTTGCATTAAAAATACAGAGCTGGCTGATGGCTTCAGGTTTTGAAACTCGTATGACAGAATGAAACTGCAAATTCAGTGTTCAGCTGAAGTCAGCCCTTGGAATTATTTTTGTCTTCAGAAGATGGGAATTGTGGCTAGCCTTCTACTGGGGGGTATGGTATGTGAAAATTGCTGCTAAGTTTCAGACTTTCTTGTTTAAAGCGCACGTGCTTTTTGGTTTCTTCAACTTTCTCATTTTCTCTTGAAGAGTCTGAAACGTGGTTTAGTTTGCAGGAAACTGTCCTCCCATTTTCAGTGTGAATGTCATCAGAGCATTTGTTTGGCATCAGGGCTTCCTATTTTTTCTTTAAACATCCAGAGAGGCTGCAGGCAACTGACAGAGCTTGAGAAATGGAGTCTGTATGCTTGCAGATCAGCAGCAGGCAAGAAGCCTACTGCGTGGTGTGTTTGTTCTGTGTGTGTTTAGGATGCCTGGAGTAAGGAGAACTCTTGGAATGTTGTTCACTGGAAGAAAGCCAGTTGTTAGATGTAAGAAGTAGTGTTTACACCGATATGCAAATCACCACCTTAAAGTTAATGGAAAAAATACATTTAATGTCAGTAATCATGGTTGAGGTGAAGTGTATGATTTCTTTGGCAATGTGTGTGTTACTGTCTTGAATATGCAGTATGCAGTACTAAATATCTTTTTTTTTTTTTTACTCAAGCAGAAAAATGCTTGTTATAATCTCTAGTAGTACAATGGTACATGTGTATCAGAAGGCTGTTAGATGTTGGTGAAGGAAGATCAAGTATCAGCATCTGCCATAGCTAAATGAGCTGTTGTGTCTTAAATTGAAAATGAAAACTCGAACTAAAAAGAGGGTCCTGTTAAAGCTGAGGGTTAAAACAGAAAATAATCCAAAATGGCCTACTACCCTCAAGATTTTAACTGTAGTAAAGG